TTGAATGGATTGCATTACTTCAACCAAAAGACAAAACAAGACAAATACTAAATTCACAGGGTTTAAAGACTAAACAGTTTAGCAGTATTGGCAGCAATGAATGAATTTAATAAGCAATCTAAATGAAATGGTTAATCTATTATTGAAATTACCAGTAAACTTATCATCAATTTCAATATGAAAACCTAATAATAATGCAAAAATTTCAAAATAAAATTAAATAAATAAAAAACCCTCGGTGGTTGATTTGGTTGATTTTTCATTTCTGACTGTGAATAATTGTGAGGGTGGCTCTGAGAGATGGAGATAGACGGATTTCGCCGGAGATGAGGACTGATTTCGTCGGAGATGGGAACGGATGTCGCCTTAGAGAGTGAGAGATGGGACTGAGTTGTGATTTAGGGTTTTGGTTATGAGTTGCGATTACGGGATTACTGTGGGGTTCAGTTTCCGATTGGAATTTGAAAAAATACGCGTTGCGATAATAATGGCGCTTTAAAAATCGCATTGCGATAGTCAGCACCGCGTTGCGATAGTCAGAATCTCGTTGCGATAGTCATAATCGCATTGCGATTTACATATCCGCATTGCGAATTCGGAAAATCGCAACGCGAATTTGGAAAATCGCAATGCGATAGTCAGAATCGCGTTGCGAATCTGGAAACTGATTTGCAATACCGGAGATCGCATTACGATTTAGTTGGTCATTTTGGCAAATCCAAAAAAAGTTGGTTAAAATCATATATTATAAGGCATTTTTGGTCACTGAGGATATTTTCTCTAATCCATTTTCATTCAAATATACAACATTTATACATTAATTAATCTTGTTCCCTATTCCTAGCTTTCTTATCTTGTTTTCACTCCCCCTCCCACAAATGCCAATGGATTAATTCCAATTTGCTTGTTTACTTGTAATTAACTTTCTACACAAATTAGTTATTTCGACTTTGTTATTTAATTTTCCAAGAGTGTTTTTTTATAATTATAATATATAATAGATATAGTGTCAAATCAGTTTTTAATGTTTAACGGAATAATTATTATGATTTTAGTATTTAATATTTTTAGGTCAAAATAATTATTTATTGAACGAAAATTATTAATTGACTAATAATTAATACTTTTTACGACTAGATGGATACATTATACTGAAGTGGTGAACTAGATGCATTCCTTTTAAACCCCGGTTTCATCTCATGACACTGATTTTTTGGAAAATAATGTATTCCTCAAAATGTTTGGACTAGCCCCGCATGTGTGTTTTAAATTCGGATCTATTTGATTTTGGATGTATACAAGGGAGGTAATACTGTCACTGTCCTGTAAAATGTACTTGTAGTAATAAATCTTTGATATTGTATTTTTCAAAAAAGTAAAATTAAGTTCAAAGATCGTAAATGTTTTTTTTGTTTAGATTAAAATAATTATTTTAATCGTTAGAAAACATGTTTAACTTGATGCACGAACCAAGCGACCTCAACAATAAAGAAATTGTTGTTATTCTTTGAAGTCTCGGGCATGAGCACCATAAATGTCAAATGGTTTAGAGTTATCCTTAAACAAATATTGTCTTGTACTTACCTCAGATTAATTATAAAAAACCTTGATTAAGTTCATTAGATTGAATGTTGGTTCGATATTGGATTAAATTGAAAATTAAAAAGTGAAATTTAAAGTTTAAGGACTAAATTAAAAAAAGAAACTAAAATTTAAGTTTTGCATAGCTATTATTCCAAAAGTTAATCTCAGTGGAATTTGATGGAAAAGGATGGCTTATATTTTGTGTTTATATTGTATAGATTTTGGTAATTAGATGATTAATATATTTTTTATAATGTTTGGAATTATGACGTAAATAAGGAAATATTGTTAAAAATATCAAAATCTCAAGTGCTCTCTCTCTTTTTGAATAATCAAATGCAATCTTTTCATTATTCACATCGATTTGAGAAAGAACCTAGGAAAAAGTTCAATAATCTTCTTCCTTAATCATGGTAGCCATGGATGAGTTTTTGAAGAATTCAAGTGAGAGAAAATCCGAAACAGAACTCATTGAATATTTTCAAGTATTAGTAAATTCAACCTTATATTATGCTAACCCGTAGCTTAATCTTATATTTTATCTATTCCTTGAATCAATGATGGGGTAAGATTCAAACAAACTCTAAAAAGTGAATAATAGGGTTTATATATTTCAGTATTGCTAGTGTTACTGTTATCACTGTAATTGGATCACCTGAAAGATTTAGAATTTATATATGCAGATTTTACAGCTTGTTCTTCAGTTGTTGTCTGAAAATCAGACATATGAGAAAATTTCGGGAAGAAGATGGGGGAATGGATTGGTTGTTAGTTCTTGGGTTTCATCTTAACTAATTCTTTTCGGTTGATAGATCTTCATGCTTGTCGTCAACTGTAGACTTGAGAAATAAGTTATGACAATTATCGGTGGCTCAACTATTCTGATTTGAACAAAGAATTATGGTTGGTGTTAGAAATTTGTAAGTGAAAAAATAATCATCAAAGCAATATCAACATAAAATAAGATATGTACAATAATGAGATTTAATGTATTCGACCTTACTACCTCCACGGGAGAGAAGAACAAATATTCCTTATAACGTAGAAATAACAAAGGGTATAAATATATGATATAAATATCATAAAATTTGATAGCTATACCTAAACCTGATGTGTCTCAAAACACTCTCTTAACATCCTTTAAAATTATCTCTGCAACGTAAATCCCAAATTGCGGAGACTAAATATTAAATCTCTCCAAAATAAAATTTTCACATAATTTAAAGATTAAGACGCATTTCTCTATTTATAAAGTCCAATACTTGATCACCAAGAGTTCTTATTCATAAAATCATTACATAAAATAAGTATTTACTTACTAATAAACTCAACTATCAAATAATCTTTAACTACCATAATTATAATAAAATCCAACTTAATTACCAATTATAATTTGGGTCAAATATAACAAACTACCCCTTTGACCCAAATTTTATAAAAAAATGGTCTTCAAGTTTTCAACAACTTCAATATTTACGTAAATCACATATCCGTTAAATACTGCCATTAAGTTTATACAACTTCAGTTCTTAAGTACTTTCTGTTGAATAAAGAGAATTACTCTGTCTCCAAAATCACTAACAAAATTCAAAACAAAATTCCTTCAAAAACTCAACAATCGGAACTATAGCTCTATACCACTTGTTATGAATTTGTAAGTGGAAAAATAACCAAAGCGATATCAACATAACACAAGACATGCACAGAAACAAGATTTAATGTGGTTCGACCTTGTCTACCTCACATGCGAGAAGAACAATAATCCACTATAAATGTAGAGATCACGAAGAGTACACATAAAGATATCTCATATATACTAAAATATGATATCTACACCTAAACTCGACGTATCCCAAGAAACTTCTCAATTTCATTACAAACTCATCTATGCAACATAAATTCCAAAGTTGTAGAGACTACAAAAGGATGCATCTCTCCAAATAATTCTCCTTGACTTGATTCTAAAGAGTAAGACTCTCTTTATAGAGTAAAATACTCGGTTATTAAGAATTCTTATTCCATAAGAATTCTTGCCTAAAATAATATCTACTTATAATATTAATGACTAGAATTACAATAAATCAAATTTAATTACCAATTATAAGGTTAACCTATGATTGAAACTAATTACATATTTGGATGAATTCGGGATGAAATTAGAAATTTTAAAGTTTGATGATCAATTTAGAAAGATGATCATAATTTAAGTATAAATTAGAATATTCAAAAATTTAAAATTAATTTATAATGAAAGTCATAGTTTTGAAGATAAAATTAGAATATTTAGAAATTTAAATATCAATTAAAATGATAGTCGTAATTTGAAATATACTATGCTACTCGTAAATCATAACAAGCAGTGTATATATATATAAATACAGGCAGTGTATATATATATAATAACAGGCAGTATATGAGGAAAAGAAATAGGGCATGAATATTGGCATTCATGACAAGGTTTGTATGGAAAGCCCACTTCAAATTCTAGATTCTCTATGTTGGCCAAAATTTGAACACTTTTCCCTCTAAAAAAACCCGAGTGTGAGCCGAAGCCGAACAGGTGTTTGCAAAATGCGTACAAGGAACTCCGTTTCTCAAACCCCACCCCGGAGATCTGCGAGGCTTCTCAATAAAAAACCTATAAAACCACAAGATTTGAGCACCGCAATTTCCGAGAAGCCGATAACATCAACCAATGTTTCAACAAATTGTGAGAATTCGAAGCCTGTTTTGCGAAGATCTCCGAGATCCAATAGCGCATCAAGTAATCCTTCAGAAAACTTGTGAATTCAACATCTGGGTTGCGAAAATCTTCAAGATTGAACAGTGGGCCTTTGTCTAACAGCCGAGGAAATCAATTTTCTGGACGAAGAAGGCCGAGTCTAGGAAAAAGAAGAGTGTAGAGGGGGAACTGTTTGGTGAAGAGAAAAGGAAATCTTATTGGTTTGAAAGCGGTTTCGGTGGAAGGGAGAGAGAGTGAAAGGAATGAAGCTTTTGGGGTTAAGAGAAAGGGAAAGCCTGACGTGGAAGCTGATAGAAATGTTCAAGGGTGGACAAGTGAGCAGGAATTGATTTTGCAAAATGCAACAAAAATAATTATAATATTTGATAGTTGTGTCAAATTTACTCATATTATTTTTTTGGAACATTTGTGCATTGAACATTTATTTTTGGATAAAAAATGGCTGAAAATCGTTAGTCAACTGATGATTAACTCTGAGTGTTGACGAAGCACACACGCGTGAAGGGGAGAGTTGACATGGACATCCATGTCATCGAGATCGCTGATGTGACACTTCCACATTATTTTTAAAAATTATTATTTATATTTGTATATTATTCATTGTGCACCAATCCGTCTAGACTACTTGCTTGAGTAATGATGAAATGCATTATATTTAATAGATACTTCTGTCTTAATTCATAAAAAAACAAAAAACAAAACATGTGTTGCTATTCATAACGTGGAAGAATGAATGTCGATGAAACGAAACAAGATTACATGGACTTACGGGGAAGAAAGAGATTTTGAATGAGGCCCTATTCTTATAAAAAATGCAAAGATAATTAAGGCTGACCTTGATATCTCCTTCACTAAGTGCTCTCCTCATCGTAGAAACAGAACCGAAATCCATTAAGGGGAAATCCAGAAAATTAGGCTTGATTGCAGCCCCTTGCAGAGATCCCATTGAACTTAAACAACCCGAGCTCACCCTTTTCTGGAACGATGTATCGCCAAGCAATTCATTTTCTTGATTTAAGCTTTCGTCTATCTCCACAACAGGAGTCTCAAAATCCAGACCACAGCCAGTGGCGCTTGTATTGCTGCGTTGCCATTAGATCCTTTCGTACTCACAGAACCTCTAGAAGTTGCTCATTTGGAAATGATTCGATATATGCGGCATTAAGTTCGTCTGAAGTAATGACATCTTCACTGCACATGGCTACAGTCATGGGATCAAGGCCCACAATTGGTTCTTCGACGATCGGATCTAGAGCTCTGAACATATCAACTTCCTCTTCGAGGTTATATTCTGCGGAGGTCTGAACATGTTCTTTCTACATTATGCAAGAAAAGATAAAAAGGCAGGATTAGAAACAAACATTGTTAACCATTAAATATGATCTTTAGCTGAAAGCAAAAATGGTGAAAACTACGATTCAGTATGGAAGAAATCTAGCAAACAAATTACTAGTAAACATCTTTTATAGAAAAGTCTATTGCAATTGAATTGCCCATAATCATCATCAGAAATGTTAAATTCGAAGAATATAGTAAACAAATTATAGTACAATCACACCAAGAAGTTGAAGAAAATGAAAGAAATCTTCAGAACAAGAATTCAGGATATTGAGTATCATTTTTCAATTATATCCTAATATGAAACAATCATTTTTCAATTATTTTCAATATATTACTTTTTTTTCATTTCAGCCTTGTTTGGTTGCTGAGAAAGTTTCTTTAAGAAAATAAAACAATCGGAATCCCTCCTTTCACAAAACCCAAAAGAACATAAACATGAAGGCTTAAGGATCCCCAAAAGTTGATGATTTCAATAAGGAAAAATCACCCAAAGGCTTGAAATTTGAACCGGAAATAACAGTTTATCATTTAGCAAACATCAAAGAGCACCAAATTCTTCAATACAGAAATCAAATCTGAAAACCCACTTCATAACTAGAGCTAATCAAACAAAAGAAGATCACCCAGAGGAAATCAGAGCAATGAAAACAAATCAAAAGCAAAGATTGAGATGTTGATTATATATACCATTGAGGCATTGGGTTTCTGGGTTTTGCATCACTCTTCAAGCAACTCAAAATCTTGAGGAAAGTTCTACAAGTAAGGGAGAAACAGCTTGGTCTCTGCATACATTTCTAACCCACGAAAATCAAACACTTTCCTTCGATTCTTCAGTGGAAAAACACAACTTTCTGTCACACACTCGACGAATAAGAGATGATGAACTCAGTAGAAAGCAGAGTTGTTAAACCTAAATATCTAAAAATCAGGTTTATGAATAACAATACGTGTTTTGTTTTGTTTTGTTTTCTTTTCTTTTATGAAATTCATATGGAAGTATCTATTAAATACAATTTGTTTCATTCACTGTTTAAGTAATCTAGTCTGATGGTAAAACGCGGAGAGGTTCAAGTCCCCTTTAATGCATTTCATCATTTTCATTTGCACCAATTATAGAGTGACACATATCACTCTCTGATTGGTGTTGGTGTGAATTAATAATATAAAAATATAAATAATATTTTTTTAAAACGACGTGAAAATATTACGTTAACGATTTCGATGATCTGAACGTCCACATCAACTTTTCCCTTCACGCGTGCGCGCTTCGTCAGTACCCTTCGTTAACTGTCAGTTGATTGATGGTTTTCATTCAGCTTGAGTTATTTTTTACCTAAAAATAAATATTCAGTGCATAAATATTAAAAAAATATGAGTAAATTTGACACTACTGTCAAACGTCAAGATTATTTTGTTGCATATGCCTTTGCAAAAAGCCCATCTTTCAGCAAAACCAACTCCTAATTTCTGGAAGAAGGTTTCCAAGCTGGTATTTTCCCCTTATTCCTTGATATTGGAGTTCAATTTATTGGATTTTCTTACATGACATAGTTTTGTAGGTTGATGTGCATATTCTTTAAAACTAAGGTTTGTAATTCCCAAACTTCAAGAACAAAAAAAGAGAGTAGCTGTACTGGATTTGTTTTTATTTTTTTGAATGAATTGTACTGCTTATTGGTTGATAGTTACTGTTCTTTAAGTGAAATTTATATATATTTTTAATAATGTTTTCCCTTTTCCATCAACTACTTTGGCTTCAATCCTAAGGGATGATGTGATGCTCACAGTTAAGGTCTTATCTGCGTCATTTTATTAATTTCGAGTGAATTCAAAGATCAAGGTGGTAAAACGTAGTGGCTTAAGTTGTATTAGGGTTAAATTTGATATCCACTGCTAATCTATGAATTATGATGTCCTTTTCCAAATATAGTAGGGTGAAGTTTCGACTTACAAGCTGCTTATATGTTCCGTTTTTTACCTAGATTTATTTAATCATTTATGAAAATGCTTGGTATTATGAACATAGGATGTATCTATTTTTGTTACACTGTCTCAGACATGCTTGGCATTTATATCAAGAAAAAAAATGTTTTGTTTATGCTATAATCATCAACTTCTTGTCTAGTTCTACAAATGCACCCGAGTTAGGACTATAAATGCAAGGAATAAATCTGCCTTTTCTGAATCCGGTTGAATATCAAATGGATTAGATGTAGAAAATAAATTTTTGCTTTACGGTCAAAGTTTTATTGTAATGGAAAATATAGCATTCTATTAATGGAAGGAAATGTAATTATAAAATCACAGCGTTAGAGCAAACAAAGCCAGACCAGTATGCTATGCTTCATTCAGTTCTGTTTAGATGTGAAGGCAGCACTTTATGGTGCATTTGTAATTATATTTGAATGGTTATTCATAAATTTACAGAGTAGCATCTGCGTTTGTAAACCTATTCTTATCCGAAGATTCACTGCTGTGATGTGTTTCGCTGTCAAATAGTTTTCCGTTTGCTATTATGCTGTAAGCTTTAGCTGATCTACTTAAGAGTAGAAAATCTATTGCAGGTGCCGGGAAAATCTGCACATGATTGCTTTGATAAGATCCACTCTAACCATTTAACTCCAATTCACCCTCGGCCTCTATCGAGGTCAAAAAGAAAAAGACTCATCACCCATCGAGCACTTATCATTCTCTTTAAGCAAATTGCTTAAACCCGTTTCCCCCAAGCATAAAAGGTCTAGGAGTAGTAAACATAAAAGCCTTCTTGTACAGAAAAAAACAATGAGACATTTGTTACAAAGGTAATGTTACGAGGGCCGCGGTGATGAAGCTGATCTATTCTCCATTCTTGAACCCAACACAAGTCCATCTATGCATGCTCCACCAAACGTTGCGTTTTCCACCCCAACAAAGTTTTTGGCAAGAACAGGGATTTCTCCAAAAGTGTCATGAGAGATCTTCTGGTTCTAAGAAGCCCCTTTCAAAATTTGGCAACACTTCTAAAGAAGTCCTTATTAGTCCCTCAGTGTTGAAGCAGATAAAATATAGAGCCTTGCATGAGAAGTACATCGACCAGCTACATTGCAGGGAAGCCAAGAGAAAAGCAGAATCTGCAAGGTGATCTCAAATTCATGGAATCGATAAGGTTCGAGCGGCAAAAAACAAATTGGTTTCTGACACTAGAGATGTTATTAACCAGCTGCAAAATCAGCAGACCACTTCTGCTGATAACTCTTGGATTTGGATAAAGATGACGATGTTGATAGTGGCGACGATCAAGGTGATCTTCAGCTTTAACAAATTATTTTAGTTGTATCAGGCTCTGCTATAACTAGCATGCCCCATTAGAGCTGTTGACTTGTGACCCTGTTATTTTGCCTAAATCAAGCCTTGGAAAATCTATGCTGCACACAAATATCGTTTCTTTAACATATTTTTTGATAAAGATTTTCTGGTAGGTGTTAAAGTTCCATTAGCTGTTGCTTCAAATATTAAAGTGCTTATATTTGATAATACTAAGAAGAAATTGTGTATTTTGGGAGCATGACCTAAACAATTAAATAATAGAGGTGAAAATGCAGTGGATACTAATGATGTTGAAAGCTTGGTAATCACTGATTTGCCCCAAAGAAGAAAATAAACAGAAAAAAGTACTTTTTGGTAAAGTACTTGTTTTTTTATACATTCAATATGATTTGTAAATACTTCTAGAAATAAATTTGGGCATATGGTGTCGACGTTCACCCTAAGATTCGAGTATCTAATTATATATTGCGCTGTAATATGGTCACCATGAATATACGGTTTCATCTTTTCATTGAGCGGCTTTAGTAGTAAAATGAAGTGTTGTTCTTTTAGAGGTTCTAAGTTCGAGCAGTTACGTCTGTACGTCTGTAGGGTATGTGCGTTGTTAATGACTAAGAAAAATTATAAACATATAACACCTTGTAATCAGTTCATTCTAATTAAAAAAAATACTTACCTACAGTTGGCTTGATGATACTTTGGAAAGAGGCATTTTGCCTAAAACTTTTGCCGTGTAGGAGATGTTGTTACTGATGTATATATTTGCTGGTCCTAAGGAAAAAGTGTTGCTTTTCTTAGTGTGGTTTGTTTTGTGCAATTAAGATGCACTTTTCATGATTTAGAGACAAACAGTCACCACCTCTTGCCAATATGAGTTTCAATTATTGGTTAGTAATGTCTACCACAACAATAGGAAATGAAAGGAAAGAAACATTGATGGACCACTAATCTGCGCACACTTTTCTCTCAAATACATTCTTGTTCCATTAAAAAAATGAACAAAATGTTTTCTTTTTCAACCATTTAACAGTGTCAAAGAGAGAAAATGATAGTTCTATTATAACATACTCCCAAGGGTACATTAATTCATGGTGGGTTGTGAGATTGATTTGATAAATGAACAGAGCTTATATAATAGGAAATTGTTGTTACAGATTCAGATAAATCTCATCCCTTAAAGGCTTTGTTGGATAACAATCTTATGATGAACTCTATAGACTGTTCCTCCATAGCCTGCATTTCTGAACAATGCTTGCTTTATCTCTTCAGCGCTCATCAAGTTCTGTGCAACCTGATACATTAGAAGAAACACTCGTTATCGATAAAAATGCGGTGAGTGGCGAGTTCGAGACTTCCACATCGACATGAATTTCTGAAAACATACCCCTGAGCAAGAAGCTTGCATTGAAAAATCATTGAAACAACTTATCACACACTTGAATCTCGAGGCCTAGTGCTTCCAATGTGTTCACCGTAGATAGCAGCAACCCTGGTTTGGTGGCACACCGGATATCGATTCGAGTATCAGTTTCACTCCGCTTTACTTCAAACTGTGTATGGAACAAAAGTCTTCAATTACTTTTGTTCATTTACTGGATTAATAGTGTAGAAACTGAAAGCAGATATCATTTTACCTTAGGGGAGCTCCTCACCATCATTTCATTCGGCTTTAGCTCCTTCATGTTGTTCATTAAACTCAAATGATTGAACCCCACTTTTGTTTCTTCTTCCTGCATCTTTTTGATCCTTTCTAGAAGCTCTTTCATGTAATCTATGGTATCTCCAAGTATAGATGTTCTATCCATCTGCAATTTTTCACATTTCCTCTGTCAATCCCAGAAGAACTCTTTCAAACTTTACTAAAAAAAATTAAACTTTTAACAAATTAGAGAAAGTAGGGTGACCTTGCTGATCTTGGGAACTATTGATCTGAGCATTGAGAGTCTGTCATTTAGTCTCTTCCTCCTCCTCCTCTCTGCCATTAGATTCTTTGAAGGCTGACCTTCTAACCTCTTACTCTTGGTCTTCTTCTCCACCAACAAGTCCATGTTGAAACCTGAATGTTGCTGGTTTGCTCCATCTCAACTTTGCAACTACTCACGATTTCCTCCAAGCTGTGTTGTTGGTGGTCAGTGCTGAGAAGGCCAAACTGATCTTCATCGTCAACCATCGATGGGTAGTCTTCATGAGCAGCTGGGAAAATGGAGTCGAAGAATCCATCTCCGGCACCGTGAATGCGTCGCAGCAAAAGGGTAGGGCTGATGATCGTTGAAAGGACATTCAAAGCTAGGGTTTTCATCAGTTGCAGTAGAGAACCCTAGAAAGGAAAGATTTGGGGTTGTGGCCAAGGTGGGATTTTCATCAAAAGGATCGATGTTCCATCCATTAGGGAAGAACTCGGTCACCCCATTTGAAGAAGTGGTCCTACTGTCTCTTCTTGGAGTCAATAACTCCTCCAATAAACCATGCTGTGAGAGCTCCATTACCTTCTCTCTCTTCCACACACACTCTCAATCTGTTTTTTTTTAAGATTGTCTGATTGAGAACTTGTCTAAAAAGACAACCTTGAAAACATGAAGATGCACCAGCTTAGAACAAGTTATTAT